AGCAACCAAATCATCAAAAAGATATTCTTTATTTTCCTTTTATTTATCACAAACTAAGGAACTACATATATAGTACTTCCATAATATCACTATGTATATGATGAATAAAAACATCATATTTTTCCTTGACTTAGTAATTAATCCTCCTAGCTAGGAGAATAACGTAGCCTTATTCGAATTATTAATACAAAAGGATACAAATAGATAGATAGATAGATAGATAGGTAGATAGATATTTAAGGACAGAACACAACCCTATAATTAGTACCAGCAGGGCAAGTGAAAGTACTAGTCTGATCATCCTTAGGGTAACTATATGCATCAGGACACCTCTCCTTAAAAAATCTCGAAAATTTAGTTGGGCTACAACTACCAGAGTTACAACAATATTGATCAGTCTTGAAAACGGTACAAGGATTGTTACATCCTCCGGGAGCCTTCAATTCATTAGGACATTGCTGATTAATTTCTGCTTTACACGTTATGCCACGGGTGCACCCATTGGAAGTTGGACTAAATTCCATAGGAACATTAAATCCATCGACAAGAGAAATATCGAAAAAGTCTTTATTTGCAAATTGGTTTAGGGCATATTCAGCTAATGTATTTGGTGGTACACCAAAAGATTTACATACAAGAAGACCATTACAATCTCCAGTTTGGCATTTTCCCTTACCGGATGCATCGAAATTGCATCCGGTACGGCCCCAAACTCGAGCTTGTTTAGTCCCCGGAGGGGCGTTTATCGTCCACGTTTGGCCACGATCGAGGCGTTTGCCGCCTCCGGCCGGGACTCCAGCAGCCCAAACTGTGTAGGGACAATTGTTACGAACTAAAATTGTGGCTGCATTGGCATAGGTGACAAAAAGGGTAAAGAGAATAAAAATTGAAGTTCTCATTTTATTTTTTTGTGACTACTAATAAATTGGAATAAGTGATGGTGTTTCTGAGGGAGTAATAATTAGAAGAGTATTTATAGGGTAAAAATGGGAGACCATCGTTGTTAAGTAACTAATTTGTTTGAAATTTTGGTTTGTGATAATGTAATGTTTTGGCTAGACTAGTAGAATATTATCAAGATAAGGGTGCAATGTGGTCCTACTAGAAGCAGGGGCGGCTCTAAAAAATCGGTGGCCTAATGTCAAATCCGAATGGAGGCCTTAAATTCAAATATATATTTTTTATGAAATTTATTATAGCCAATTATTTAATCTTTCTTGAGACATAGTATTCATAATTTGTCGAACTTCTATTACTTCTTTACTTTTTTATGAAAAGTTTTTATTTTCTACAAGTAATACTCGATATTTTTTTAATAAAAATACGTATAACCTATTTATTTTTTTTAAAATGAGGCCCTCAAATTTTGGGGCCTAAGGCAATTGCTTTTTTTTCAAAGTTGTAAAGCGCCCCTGACTAGAAGTTGTAGAAAATATTGTAGCTAGGGTCTATTATTCAAGCTTGGATTTTATTTTTTACTTTTGAATAGTATATGTATCTTCTTCTTTTTATTTTCCCATTCAAGGTTTGTATCAGCATTGGAGTCTGATTATATTTGGATATGTGCGGGAAAGTTGCATATTGAGTATAAAGTGTTCCCTAATAAAGGTGACACACTTAGGAGACTCGAACCCGAGACATCTGATTAAGAATGAACTAGAGTACTTACCACTTCATAGCAAAAGGCAAAAAGAAAAATCAAAGTTAAGAACAATGAACTTAGAATTTGGATGGTACATAAATTCAAACTTTTTTAGGTAATTATGCAAGTTTAAGGACCTCTATTTTCAACATTTTAGCAACATTTGAAAAGCTATATATGCACACATGAATATTATATTGCTTTGTGATTTACACAAGTAATTTTTTCAATATCCCTATTCATATTGAATCTAAGCGACTCCGTATTCAATTTGGATCAAAATTATTGAGTTCTGATCGTTAATATTTAATGATCTATATCAGTGCCCTCGAATCAATATAGTTGAAAAGACTATATTTAGGTGACTTATTAAGTGTACAAAAAACCAAAAGGAAAATAGAGACTTGACAGTAAGAAAGATCAAAGTTTACTAAATATGAAAGACAATTGTTAATTTCCTTGTACAAAATTAGGTGGTGGAAAATTCGTATTCAATTCGTTGTGTCTCACTTCTGCTTGATTTTTATTTTATTTTTTTGAAAAAGGGACTGCAGAAACCATTTACTTATTTATATCATATTCGTACAAAATATCCTCTCCTTCTTATTTTATATGACAATATTTTACTGAGCATGAAATTATGTAAAAGAAAAATTAAAAAGTTATGTCATAGACAAATCACAAATGTGTGGTCATAAAATTATATATTATTAACGCTAAAATAAAAAGTTTAAAATTAAATAATTTTAAATATAAAATGTATAATTCTTTATGAAATAAATTAAAAAGAGATATATTCATATTAAGTAGGATAAAGAATTTTAAAAAACAATCATAAAGGAGAAGAAAACTCGAATGATATAGAATATTTGTAGAAAGGATAACGTCTCCAAATAAAATATGGAACAACTCAAGCAAACAGTGCTAGAATTCGAACATAATCAGTTAGTGTTTGATTCCAATTCTCAATTGTAATTTTGGTTCAATGATTATAAATGTATTTAGTGTTTGTGTGGAAATTTTTTTCCACATTATGTAAAATTTAGTAAAGAATAAAACGTTTCTATTAAGATTCTTTTTTGTCGCGAAGCTTGAAGTCGAGGATTTTAGTTAAAAATAAATGGATTGTATTCATCATCACATCACAATCCTCAATAATTATACGTTTTAATACACTTTGTCTCAAATACAAATAGTAAACGAGTCAATATATAACGTAAAAATAACGGTGATATATGATAAATAATATGGGATATATATCTAAGCAACTATGACATGTTCAAACTTAATATTTTATAGTACATTTTAATTTATGTCACGATAATATATTTTTTCCACTTTCATAAGAAATTTTTTAACTCAAGTTACATTTTATATAGTTTCAAAAGACGAAAATATTTAATTTTCAAGAAATAATTAGTCTAACCTGATTAATTGAGCTAAAAAGGTAAAAATTGACGAAGATTATGATAGAGGAAGTAGTCTACTATGAGAACATATTATGCAAATGAGTGAAGTGATACTTTAAACTAATAATGTGCCAAGCACTTCCCTTTTTTATAGGAAAAATCTTTTTGGCCAGAAAATTTGGCCAGAATGATATTTTATCTATGTTATTTTATTTTTTAAAATGTTTTTACTCTTTTACCTTTAATATTTTTTAACTAAAAAGATGAAAAAAAGATTAGTTTGTTTTAAAATAAAAAAATATTATAGTTATTTTAATTTTCTGGCTATTTAGCACTTCCCTATTTTTTTGTTAATAGTTTACTGGATTGATATAAAAAGAAAATCTTCTTAAAACATCAGATGCAGCATAAATTAGAAGAACACACAAATTATCTAAATGTAAGGAATATTTTCAAAATTTAGCTAAAAAGTTTCCCCAAGTTACGAGGGAATACGGATGTTCATATTTGGGATAAAATCGATTCAAATCGGAATACTCAATCAAATCAATTAAATAAAATAATTTTATTTTAATTTGATTTTACATTTTCTAAATTCAATAATAGTTGGTTTTCCTTATAAAAAAACTCAAAAAATTAATCGAATCAAACCGATAAATTTATATATATATATATATAGCTTTCGTCAAGATTTATTTACAATTTATTTATAAAAAAAAAAGTTCAACACAAGAGCATTTATCTTATTATTTGTTTCATTTATATGAGTGTTTATGTAAGTTTTTTATGAAATTAGGAATGTCATTGTCACTTCCTTGTCTAGGACAAAGTGATGAATTTTGACGCCTTGTTCACGTTAAATTTAGTGTTCGAAAGTTTTGTAATGTCATCTGATCTTACTATTTTTCTTTGGATGACTTGTTCTCTTTTTTTCCTTCCGTTTTACATGAAGCATTTCTTTTACGTTTGTATATGATTAATAACTGAATAATCGGATAAAATCACACTGAAATCGATGACAATCAAACTGATAAATGTATATTACAGTTGGTTTGATTTGATTTTGATTTTGACCAATAACTGACCCTAATCGATTTGTGAACACTCATAGTTGGTGGTAATGGTGGTTGTAGTTGAGTTGAGGACGGTGATTATGGACGTTAGATGGTGGTGATAGTTGTAGTTGAAAATAGATGAAATAGTGGTGAATCGTCATCTCTATAGAAATTCTTAAATAAACATCTTAATAACATTAAGACTTTAATATAAATCTCAATCACTCCGACTTATTTAGACCCATTAAGTGATTGTAAAAATCAACACATAAATACCCCTGCTTATGACATAATGAGTAATTAAAATCTGAGTATTTCAAATTTTCATTTGTTAACATTAAACGTACTACAAAACACGTGAATTGTTAACCACACAGAAGAATCCCAAATTTGCAAAATTCGACCATCCATATGTGACTGAATTCAATAAAGTCATTATTATCAGTAACGTTTTTATCTTTAAACCGTAACTCATATCAACAACTTTTAAATCCGTTACTAACAAAAACAATTTGTATATATATATATATATATATATATATATATATATATATAAAATCCGTTTACTCCATCCGTCTACTTTTTATCCATGTATTTTTAAATAAAAATAATACCTACTACATTATCAATAAATGATAAATGAGATTATACTAATTCTAATAAGTTTCAAGAAAACATATTAGCTTCTTACGATTCATTTAGTTGAAGAACATATTATCTCGAGATAAATTGTAACTCCACCAAGGGGCGGAGCTAGAAATCGAGTAATATAAAAGGAGTCCTTCCCCAACCCCACCGCTTGAATGTCTTCCTTCTATAACACACTACTTTCTTCATATATATATTTTCAAATCCAACAAATCCGTCAGTTACTCTTCGGAATATTCTTCAGTTTCCCGCTACTCTCTCTTTCTCTCTCTAAAAATTAATATCTTTAAACCCTAACTTCACTCAAAAACGGTCAGTTACATTCAATTATACTACTCTCTTTCTCTCTCTACAATTTAGGTACATTTTTCTGATTTTAATGTTTATTTCACGAATTCGAAGCAATTCAAGCTGTTTTGTTCATCGTTGTATGTTTCCAAGCTGTTTTATTTTGGATTTTGCGTTTTTTGTTGGTTCGTCAGGTGTGAATCTGTTTGTTGTGAAATTTTGATCCTGTTCGATTGATTGATGGAATGTTAGTGTAAAGTTTTGATATTTGTGGTGAATTTTGATATTTTTTTGGTTAAGAGATGTAAAAAAGGGGATTTTTTTTGTGTGTTTTGTGTTTGGGCGCATCTATGGAACGGGAAGATGTACGAAAATTGATTTGTATTGGAATGAGTGAGTTTGAGTGGATAGGAATGATTTATATAGCGGATCTGTACTGGTTTGGGGTTGAGGTGTAGTTCACTGAAACAGTTCATTTAATTTGACTACTCTGATTAGCTATATATGTATCTGGATTTTAGGTGCATTTTTATGTGTTTTATAAATTTGTTTTTGTATCCATCCCCTGTTTATTTTACTATTTCGAAGCAATTCAAGTGTTTATCTGCATTTCACGGCGTCTTGTTCATTATTGTATGTTTTGAAGCTATTTTTTGGGGAAAATAATTGTTTTTTTTGCTTGTTGGTGTTTTTTATTAAGGTGATAATTCTCTTCGTTTGGAAAATCTGATAATGTTTGATTGCTGACAAAATGCTAGTTTAAAGTTCTGATTTTTGTGTTGAATTTTGAGTTTTTTTTTGTTTAAAAGTTGGATTTTTGTGTGTTTTATTAGTTCTTGAGGAGGTACTTTAGGGATAAGCATGAAATTGAAATATATGAAGTAGATTTGTTTGGCCACTACACAAAAATGATATGCACAAATTGATTTATATTGGGGTTGAGCTTGAGTGGTTGGTTACAAATGATCTTGATAGAAGATCTTTGCTAGTTTGGGGTCGACGTTTAGTTGATTGATTGATTATCCTGAGGAGCACACACATGTGCATTATCCTTCTCTTGCTGAGCTGTGAGATATTTCATTGTATTGCTGGATTATTGGAAAATCTCTCCACACCTTTGTTTGGGTGCCATGAACATTTAGGATTGAGGATATATGCTTGTTTTCTTGTCAGAATCTTCTTATGATCTGTTTGAAAAAGAAATTCTATTTTCTTATTTGGTGTAACTAATAGCTCTTGCCACTTCCAAGTCTAGATAAAAGAAGAGGGTTATAAGTTGACAGCTAGTATAGCATTATACTGATTGTTGGGCCCAACATGTTTACTGGTGTGAATAGAGCGAAATGTGGATTTTAATTTCTGTAACTGTTCTCGTTTTCCTTAATTAGCTTGTGCGTTCAAGCATTTGTTCTTACTTCTTCCTCGTCGTAATTGTTTTGCAGTTTAAGGATATTCTTTGGCCGCAAGATCATGATACAAGTTAAAGAGGAAGCTCCAACTCTGGACATTGGTGGATTCATTTCTTGTTCATCTCTCTCTGATAGCAGTTATGAGGCTAGCACTCCGAGATGCTCCTCCGAGCCTGGGTAAGCTGAAACCTTTGATTTTTTTCTGTCTTTGAACAGTTGGGCCTCAAATAAGGTCTTTGAAAAAGATGGCTGATTGATGCAATTTTAGTTTTCACTTCAATTGTTTAATCCTATTTCAGTTCCAGTTGTCGAAGGAGCTCAGGTCCAACTAAGCGTTCTTCTCAGGCAGGCTGGACAGAAGAAGAGGTAATAAGGCTAGTCGCTGGAGCTCTTGTTGTACCTATTATGTGGTTTGATTTCAAGTGCATTAGTTCTCCATTGAATCTTTCTTCATACATGTATGATGGTTTTTATAACCTTGTGATTAGAGTGTGTCTCCTTGATAATTAGGTACTTATAGAATTATCTGTCTGAGTTGTCATGTCCTTTTTCCTTTTGGCTTCTGATGCATGTGGATGCTTAGGATGTATAATTGAGCAAAGGAAAGGATAAAGATAGATTTTGTTAGTCATAATTCCAGTTTAATTTACTCACTTTTACTAATTCCATAGGCTCATTTCCTTTGATCTAGAAATTTCTGACATCTTTATTTCTTTCACAGGACAATCTATTGACTGAAGTGGTGGAACGGTTCAAAGGAAGAAACTGGAAAAAAATTGGTAAAACCATTTATTCTGTCTTGCTCTATACCTTTCAGCTAGGTTAACCACAAAAACCTTTACTTTTTGCTCCAAGTCACATTATGACTTGGTTTCCATCTTTTGAATACCTGGCTGTTTCATGGAGTAACTTATACTGTTGTATCTATGAGCAAAATTTGTCTGCTGAACATTTTGTGTGGTTTTATTGTGTTCTCTTTTGTTCTATAGCTGAGTGCTTGAATGGAAGGACTGATGTGCAGTGCTTGCATCGCTGGCAGAAGGTTCTGAATCCTGAGCTTGTAAAGGGTCCTTGGACAAAGGAGGTATTAAACAGTTCTACAACCATTGCTTTTCTACGAGTTATATCCCAATTATCAAGACTTTGATTATTAAAAACAACTGTTTTGTTCCATTTGGAATTTCAGGAGGATGACCTGATTATTGAGTTAGTTGAGAAACATGGCTGTAAGAAGTGGTCTGCTATTGCAAATTCTTTGCCTGGTCGCATTGGCAAGCAGTGTCGGGAAAGGTCAGTTTCTAACTCTGCCTAAATCTGTTGCTATGCCACAGCTTGTATTTATACCTCCAACTAATTTACATGATCATAAACCCAGAACTTTTCAAAAGGCTTCCTGGAACATCTGTAGTTATGTTGCTTACAGAGTTATTCCTTGCCTTGAGAACTCATTTTGTCTCACTTTTCTCTTGTGTTTTGCAGGAATCTTATCTTTTTGTCTTATTTTCACTTTGCCCTACTGGATTTTCTGTCCTGTGTAGGTCCTGCTCGTTTATAGGAGCATTGTATTTCCTGTTATCTATTGCTTGATGTTGTGTGCGTCTTTTCAAAGCAATTAATCAATCAACTAATGCCCCAATTCGTAGTAGGGGTTGGCTATATGAAAATCCATAATTTGAGGCACAACCCTTCTTTATAAGGATTCAGACTGGCTATGTTTTGCACATAGGCAGATTTTTCTTTTGTAAGTGAATAAGAAAAAGCATGAAAACTGGAAGCCAGCTAAATATTTGGTTACTGCGATTTACTGGTGAATCATTTGGTGGATTTTGCAGTTAGAGCCTAAAAGGAGATCCACATTTCTATATTCTGTTCCTATTGAAAAAAGGAAGTGACATAGGTTGATTAATTGCAAGTTATTATAGTTGTTTCAGTCTGCTATGTTCACTAACGTTGTGAGATCGTCCATGAATGTCACAGGTGGCACAATCATCTTGACCCAACAATAACAAAAGATGCCTGGACTGAACAGGAAGAATTGGTCCTATGCCACTATCACCAATTATACGGAAACAAGTGGGCTAAAATTGCTAGGTTTCTGCCCGGAAGGTATTCTAAAAAATCTATTCTTCTATTATGTAGATCAGTGTGTCTGATTTAGAGATTCTTTGGGCATTCGTAAAAATGTAGATCAAGTAATTTGTAATATCTATCACCCTCTCATACCAATGGCAGATCATGTGGAGTTCATGATTCTGAAAAGTCAGCATTAGTAATAGTGTGGTATAACTTGTATGCCATATCAAACACAACCTTTTGATTTTTAGGATTCCTTGGTACATTGCTTACAGAGTGTATCCAAATCTTGGACACTACTCGAGTTTGTTCAAGGGAGATAAGTAGATAGTTTTTATAATGAAGGCAGTGAAGGCATATGCAGCTTTCTCTTTACTTTTACTTCTCCTTATCTTATTCTCCAGTTTCACTTCCATCTAGACTTCTAAATCATTTTCTCCCAATATGGTTTCTTCTTTTACTTCTTGAGGTTCAAAACTATCCATGTCTGGAACTCTCTTAATATTTTATTTTGTCAATTTGAAATGGAAAAAAAGTTGAAAGCATCATTTTGGGCCTAACTCCACCCCAATATCTAGCTCAAGAGGGGAGGATTTCCCAAGACCATATATGAAGATCAGCCATCTCTTTTTCATTCTATATGGGGCTCTTAAACACTCTACGTCATGCCCAGGACGGAACATCTGGAGTGTGGGCAATTTAAATAGGGACCCGACATCGGGAAACAAGAATTGGGATGAGTTCTGGTATCACTAGGTAAAGAAAATGGATCTTGGGCCTAACTCAACCCAAAAGCTAGCTCATGAGTGGAGGATTTCCCAAGACCATATAAGGAGACCACCCATCCTTTTTTCACCCGATGTGGAACTCTTCAACAATTTTCAACTTGTAGTAATAAGCTAAGTTTTGTTTTTTAGTCAGATTGACCCTCGGCAAGCAAGTTAGGAGAACCAAATGGGGACAGAGGTAGTAATAGTATGATAGCTTCTTTCCGCAGAAGCCTGGATATTCTAGGTTTCGTAACTGTACTTTTAAGGACTCAATGTGCACCCTGTTTAATTCAGAGGATTGGCATTCTTTTGTGCTAATAGCTGCAGGTACATGTGTCAATTTGTATCTATCAAGTCCAGTTTCTAATTTATCATGATTACTCTAAAATGATTTTTTTGCCTACGCTTGATGCATTCTGTTTGATTGATTTTTGCTCAAGTATCATAGGCACGTATCTTTGATTAGTTCTCCTTTCTGATCTATTTTTCCTTTTGGCGCTCTCTTAGGACTGATAATGCAATTAAAAATCATTGGAATTCCACTCTGAAGAAAAGATTGAACTTGAATTTACTAAGTAGGTTAGTGCCGGATATCAAAAGTGAGGGATCTCCGGACTTCTCAACTCACAAGAAAAATCTGGAAATCAAGAAGCATCCAGCACAGGCTCATAATGCAGAAACAGTCTTTTTGAGCGAGCAGACAGGAGTAGGTAATGCTGCTGATGCTTGCTCAACTGATTTGAGAATTGGATCTGCTAATTCTCCTCAAAATGGTTTGCATAAGGGTACTTCTTCATTTGGAGCCTGTAAATCATCAGAACAGAAGGCGAGGGATCTGATAAAGCGATTTGGTGGAATACAATTTGGCAAGGCAGAAATTCTTCCAATTGGGGAGACAGATAAACAATGCCAATCCACTTTAAGTCTCACTAAAATATCATATCCTCTGTTGGACTCTTCTTTAAATGTTCCTTTAGATCCATCACACAACACCAGATGGAGTAGTTCTCAATTTGAGGCTGTTCGTCCTACTTCTTTTGGGAGTATGTATGAATCTCCCAAAAGGTCTAGGTACGACGCTGTTAATGATCCTGACCATGATTTCTTGAGTTTGTCATTGGCTGCCTTCACCGAGGTTTCCCACGGTAACAAGAAGAACAAAACATATGATACACAATCTTCTTTGGCTCTCAATCAGCCTGGCCGCTTGTATTATGAACCACCAAAAGTAAAGGACTTGATGATTTCTTCAATGGATGAAAACCTTAGTAAAGACAACTTTATCGGGCAACATCATGGCCATCCACTTTGCTCTACACCTCCTAGTCTTAAGTTAACAGTCTCTGCTAATGGTAGCAGTCCAGAATCTGTGTTAAGGAACTCCGCAATGAGCTACACAAAAACTCCTTCAATCATAAGAAAGAAGACTTCAAGAATTGCAGAAGCTTCTGGGCATTCTAGTTGCACAGGCAGTACCACACCCATGCATTTTCTCGAGAGTGTACCTGACAGGGAAGACTCCTCAAACCTGAAGGACAGGATTTCTGGATGTAAAAGATCAGTTTCTGGAAAATCTCTTGGAAGACGGTTGGAATATGCCTTTGATATGGAATGGGATTCCTCTAGATCTTGCACACCAGTTTCTGCAGTTCCACCTTGTGGACTTACTCTTGGTGCTAATACAATGTTAACACCATAAAAACAGGTAAGTGATGTATTTTCGGTTTTAGTTTTTCCTTTATTTCAGCTTTTTCCTGCCCAGTTAGACGTTTTTTATTATTTGAGAGCTTGAACTCTACATGAGCATCTTTATTGCTCTAGTTCCAGTTAAAAAGAGCAACTGATCTGACAAGTCTAAGAAAGATCTTAGCCTAACCACATATTTATGGATGTGTATAATTGTATTGCTTTCCGCATTTGTTACTCTCCCCAGTCTAAAATAAATGTTGTTACCTTTAAGAAAATTATTATTAGCACTAATCATAAAGGGTAATTTCTCATCACATTACCTTCCATCTCTACTCCGAACTTTTTAAGATCATTTATTGGAAGTTAGGGTAGATTTGAAAAATAAAATTAATGCCTTCTTGGTTTTCTAGAGCAACACTTGTATGGACCAAATTGATTTGGCTAAAAAGACGTTTATTTTGGACCAGAGTAGTAGTATATTTTGAGCAGTTACCCTTCCAAATTATGTTTGGCATTTTCGAACATAGCAAGGTGACCTATGTTTCAGTTATTTGCGAACCTTATCCAGTGATTCTTAGGCTCCTTGTTTTGGACGACTAGAATAGAAAGCAACTTCAAATTGATGTTTGATCCTTGTTTTAGTTAAATCAATGTATAAAACAAGTGAACTCGTCAAGCTTCTAGCTTGTTTGTCTCAAAGAACCCGTGAACCTGCAGGTTTTCACGACTTAAAACTGATCTGAAGATGACCTTATGGTATATTGTTGAACAAAATGGTATATTCATTGCCTATCTCCTATTAGATTATTTTTGCATGTCCTTATTTGCAAAACTGATAATACTTTATGGCAGAAGGAGTGAAGTTGTATGTGCATGGATGTGTTAATGTTTATGGTAATATGTGACCATTCTGCAAAGAGCGATGTCACATGTTTCCGCCTAAATGTTAATCTGTACTCCATCTGAACTAGTTTTGATCTAATCCTGCATTTTACTTCAGATTATATTTGTATTATTTCTGTTATAATTCTCTTCTTTTTGATTTTAGGATGAGCTATAGAGGATTTGTCTGGGGAAGCTTTTGTTTTAGATTACAAGCAGGTAAATTTTTACTATCTTCTCGCAGTTGTTTCACAATTATTGCTAGTACTCACATTTGTACTGGTGTATCATATATCAATCGATCAATTCCAAATTGCAGAGTCAGTCAAATCATACTAAATAATGAATCAATCAAAGAACTCTCAACGCGTGTCAATTATCGAGGTAACAAAGACCAGTGAAGCAATGACATATGCCGAGACACTTGACTGAAGTATTAGTTGGAGATGGAAGCTTAATGAGAAAATATCGCGGAAGGTATAAACTATATGACAAACATGTAAACTTATTAGGTTAAGATTCTTGTTTTGGGAGTCGCACAATTCTGTGTGGATGTACTCTGAAAAACTGTTTCCCTGTCCTATTTCAGAAGTCTAGCTGAAGGAAAGGATTGGTTGTGTAAATATGCATTTAACTCAATTGCCTGCAGTTTTGTGGCATTTTATATTGTTCAAAAAATGTGTTCCTAGTGGTGTCTTGTTCCATGCCATTGATAAATAAGGTGAAAGTTAATTGTAGTAACTAGTAGTTTGGTAAGTTTCAAAATCTACTCTCAGCTTGATTAGTACATTAGGTTGTATTTCATAAAGGAAGTCGGGGATCGATTCTCATAGTCATTGCCCTTCTCAATCGAGCTTGATGTATCCAAAGTGCGGCTTACATCTCTGATGTGATTTGTGAACTATAAGTTCATAGTGATTTTAGGATATGGACGTATAGCGTCAGCATTTTTGGTAGACCATCATTTTCTCCAAATAACAGAATTGTATTTTGCATCCTTAGCTATCTCTTAAAAAAAATGTTTTAGGAAAATGATACGAACCAATTATTGCTTTGTCTATCAATCATTTAACTAATAATATATCCTATAATAGTATTCCCTTTTTCTTTATTGAACGCTTTTTTCTTTATGATAAGATTAGAATTATTATTCCTATATTAATGTTAAATTGATATTGGTTTTTATCCTATCTGATGTACCGTTTGATTATAAAATGCAAAATGGCAAACAAGAAAAATATTTTATTTTCACTTTTGTTATTTTTTTGACAAACTGAGCTATCTGTACCAGATTTTCAGTTAGGAAAAGAATTCTTGGAAATCGAAATCTCTTAAAGATGAGAATTCCACGTCAGCCTTGACGTTGAAAATGACTCAAAAAAAGCTTTAGTTTTATCAAATTGGACTATAAAGCTTTTGTGTATTACAATAGGGAAAAGGCTCAAATATGCCATCGAACTTTCAAAAAAGGCTCATTTATGCCATCCGTTAAAAGTTTAGCTCATCTATGCCATTACCGTTTAAGAAAAGGCTCATTCATGCCATTATTTTTTAACGGTGATTTTGCAAAACCATTTTTTACACGTGGCCAATTATAATTCGGCCACGTCATTATTTTTTTCAGAATTTTAATTTTTTATTATAAAATAAATAATGACGTGGCCGAATTATAATTGGCCACGTGTAAAAAATGGTTTTGCAAAAAATGTTTGTTCAAAATTTTGATTTTTTATTATAAAAATAATAATGACGTGGCCAAATTATAATTGGCCACGTGTAAAAAATGGTTTTGCAAAACCACCGTTAAAAAATAATTGCATGAATGAGCCTTTTCTTAAACGGTAATGGTATAGATGAACCAAACTTTTAACGGATGGCATAAATGAGCCTTTTCTAAAAGTTCGATGACATATTTGAGCCTTTTCCCATTACAAAATCATGTACCCATTGCCATATGGTGAGAGGTGATAATGTTTGGGTGTGCGAACAAAATTCAATGTAGTAGTTGAGAAAAGGGAAAAAAGTTACATATAAAGTGCAAAGATATTTTTAATGATGTGGCATTTTAAGCTCAAAACGAGGATTTTATGATCTTGTTTAGAGAATTTTAGATTGATTGAGGAAATGATTTGGTAAAAAAAAAAAAATGAAAATGACAGAGTGATAATATGAGGTTTAGCATAGTGCCTTAGTTGTATGTGAATACATGAAGGTAGACTTTAATGGTCATGATTACCTAGTTGAAACGGATGGACACAGTTGCTCTCTATATAAATTCATGTTGATGACTCATGTGAAACTTAATTTGAGAAAATTAATTAATAATTTCAAGTTACTAATATTTAATAATAATTGAATACATAGTTAAATATCTATAATTATTTAATAAATCTCTTAATATACTTATTCACATTCCATATTTTTATTAAGTGATTGAATAAGGTATAACAATACATCAATTAAATGTTAAAAGCCTACATGCCAACACATATCATGCACTTACTGCCTTACTATAAACACTGTATGCAAATGAATGATTACCAAACATTACCCACAATGCAAGGAGTATAGTTCAATGATCTCTTATAATTTTTCGAAAAAACTAATAACCATATCTAAACATAGTCTAAAATGTAAACAAATACAAAGAATACATTAAAAATCATTATAAAATTTAAGAGCAACAAGTTGTACAAGTTTTTAGTAAGTGATATCTGGGAATATTATATATATGTTCATAATAACATACAGATTCACCAAATCCTTATTTGACTATTTGTCGAGTAACAACATAAGTATTATTTACTTGGTAAGCCATACTCAATATAATATACATATTACTATAATATATATTATATTATTATGGAATGTAATATAAGACTTTAATCTTTGAAGATTTGTCCTAAAACATTCAAAAGATTACTTTCCCAAAAACAAGTTATATATGGAGTGACTCCCAACATTTATCATTTAAAACATTACTTCATACAAAATTTGTACATAACATAGTACATACAAAATTTGTACATAATAGTACAAATTAGGCCTTCTTATCGATCGATTTGATTTTAAAGGTTATCAAATTTATTAAAATACAAAATAATTATATATTAAAAATCAATTTTAAATTTTTACAATAGGCAAGCATCAGAGTATTACCAACAAATTTTCAAACTACAACAAATGCCAAAGATTTTTTTACAATTAGCTAACATAATTAATAATACTATATTGAGTAAACATGGAGAACATGAAAGCATCGTTTTCATCGAATAAGACTGTTATTTAATAACTACAATAGAGTTATCAATTAATCCATTAATAAAAAATTCAAATTGTTACAATATACAACAACAAACATAAACTCAGTAAAATTCGGAGAAGATAAAATATATGCATAAATAGTAAATCATTGAGATTACAACAGAATCCTAACTTAATTATAAAAGATTCTAAATCATTATAAAATTGTTAAATCAATAATTAACTATCGCCCCCTCACCCCACACACACAAAACTCATGCAGCCATAATTAGGATCCTAAACTTCCATAAAATTCTCTTTTCATCCCAATCTTCTCCCAAGAAACCCCACCCACCCCACCCCCTTTAACCCCCTCTCATAATTTTTCCAATTTTTTTCCTTATTTAACATCGTTGCTTATCTACTTTTTTTCAAGAAGAGTCTTGATTTGCTCAAAACTTTTTCCTTTATATCATCCCTTTTTCTTCACGTATCTTCTACAACTAAAAGAAAGAACCCATTTTTTCTCATTTTCCATAAAAATTGGTTCTTGAAAGGATAAAGATTGAATCTTTTTTGTGTTTTATGAAATGGGTGTTCAGTGTCAAGAAAATATTTTGGTTACTGGAGGAGCTGGTTTCATTGGAACACACACTGTGGTGCAGTTACTGAATGAAGGATTCAAAGTTACCATCATTGATAACTTTCATAATTCTGTGGAAGAAGCTGTTGATAGAGTCAGAGAATTAGTTGGTCCTCAACTTTCACAGAATCTTGAATTCCATTTGGTATGATTTGTTTTTTCAATCTTTGATTTTGATCAAAGCCAACAAACACCCTTTTTCTAAAACCACAAAATGGGGGCAAAAATGGAAGGAAATGTGAAAAAATGAGCTTGATATGTTCAATTTTAGCTCAATTTACATTTTGTAGTCATTGAATGTTTAAGGCTCCATCATTAGCTTTTTGTTGCTGCCCTGTATCATGTTGTTATCATTTTCTTAAAAAAGTAATCTTTATTTTATTTTATAGGAATCTTGATAGCTCTGTGATTGTACAACTAGGTCTTTTTAATCCTAATTTTGGTTTGTGCAATGAATGTTGATAAATTCACAATACTAGAATTGTGTTTTTTCACCTTATTTGGGATTTTACCTTTGTTGCTTCTTGGTGGCAGGGTGATATTAGAAACAAAGATGACTTGGAGAAGCTATTTTCTAAGAAAGAGTATGAAAATTTTCTTGTTTTCAAATTATCTCCAGCTGTTATTATTTCCTTTGAATGCATTTCTATGGTGTGTCTTGATATTCATTGTTTTGTAATATATATTGAAAAAGGTTTGCTGCTGTGGTCCATTTTGCTGGACTTAAGGCTGTTGGAGAGAGTGTTGTTCAGCCCTTTCTTTACTTTGAGAACAATCTGATTGGATCAATAACTTTGTATTCAGTCATGGCCAAGTATAATTGTAAGAAGGTACGTCTTTCGATATAATTTGGTTTCATATAGTGAAATATGCTATGCATTCAAGGCAAGTTGGAATCTGTTATGTTGATGATTGTTGCTACCCTGTACTTATAGTTTTGGTAGAGTTTGAAGGAAAACAGTAAATATGAGCTTCTTTCAAGAACTCATTTAGCCTCAAGAACATGGGGCGTAGCTAGGGGGCGAAAGGGGGTTCAATTGCTCAGGATGTGGCATATTTGGAATTCGTAGGAGGGTATTGAGTCGGTTCGTCAGGTTGATAACTTTTTAATGTGAATGTGAAATTGCAGTTGGTTTTTTCATCATCTGCGACAGTTTATGGTCAGCCTGAAAAGGTTCCCTGTGTGGAGGATTTTGAATTGAAGGCTATGAATCCTTATGGTCGAACAAAGGTTTGTATTGTTAATAATTGTATCTTAATTTTGTAGTGATTAAAGATTGATCATTTGATACTATCTCATTCTGTAAAGTATGTAACTAAACCTGTGTTTCGTTCTATTTAATTAGCTATTTCTTGAAGATATTGCTCGGGATATCCAGAAGGCAGATCAAGAATGGAATATCATACTGTTGAGGTATTTCAACCCAGTAGGAGCTCATGAAAGTGGCAAACTCGGGGAAGATCCAAAGGGCATTCCCAACAATCTTATGCCTTACATTCAGCAAGTCGCTGTTGGTAGATTGCCAGAGTTGAATGTATATGGCAACGACTACCCTACACCTGATGGTACCGCGGTAGGTTATGTTTGGCTGATTCTTTGTGACTGTAGCTTCTTTGTACGAGGAGAAAAAAGATATTGAACGACTCAACATAATCATCTGACTAGAGTTCATACGAAAGAAACAGAAAATGAAGTGTGAGCAAAACTTACCAGCTGGAACAACTTATTGAACTACTTATAATGAAGAGAAAAGACAGAAATATAGTAGAATATCCAAATATATTCATGGCATGAATCACCTTTAACATATTTTGTTTCTGTACTTGACTGATAAATGATTTTTAATCTATTTCTCACTAGATACGAGATTATATCCATGTTATGGATTTAGCGGACGGTCATGTTGTTGCACTTCAGAGACTTCTAAGGCAGAATCATATAGGTAAGTAATCCTTTTCAAAGCAAAGTTTAGATCTGAATTCTTTTGACATTTGTTCGAGCTAATGATACCCTTTTGAATGATTTTGACGTTTCATATTTTGCTGTTGAAGGTAACATCTTGTGACATTTGTTCTTCTCTTTGATGGTTTGCATTAGGTTGTGTTGCCTACAATTTGGGTACTGGAAAAGGCAAATCTGTCCTAGAGATGGTTGCTGCCTTTGAAAGAGCGTCTGGAAAGGTCTCTTAACGAAACACGCTAATATGCTAAACCATACCTTGGAGAATGTGAATTATTTGAACAAAGCAACAAGCTCATCATATGTTGTACTAATATTTTTTTTTTTGTTCCAGAAAATCCCGCTTAAAATGTGTCCAAGAAGACCAGGAGATGCCACTGCTGTTTATGCATCTACTGAAAAAGCTGAGAAGGAGCTCGGTTGGAAGTAAGTAGTAAATGGTTATTTTTCTATCCTTAGATCAACTAATGCTTGCGCCGAGCAGCCTCACCTCCCCCTGTTAAGGCTAATCTTCTTGCATAACTCTTTCATTTCAGGGCAAAATATGGTATAAATGAGATGTGCAGGGACCAGTGGAAATGGGCAAGCCAAAATCCCTGGGGTTACCAATCAAAGCCTTGATGTGTTAAAATAATAATACAAGTAGCACTTGGAGGACAAAACTGTAGTCAACATCCTAGTACTTTACATTTTATGCAAACATAGATGTATCCAAGGACAAAAGTGTTCATCAATAATAGTTGTTGATGGTTATGTGCTACTAAATCCTGTTGTTGTTTTCCCTTAATGGTTTATGGGAACTTGAATGTTCCTCCTATTATGATCCCTTCAACCAAATTTCTTTACTGATTGTAATTCATTCAAAAAGAGTAAATGATCTAAGTCTATTATGCTATTGAAGGTGTGCAATTCTATACTTCATTGTTGATGAAGTTATGGTTTATAATTGACTCAAGCATATCTTTTGGCTCATCATAGTTGACTTTTTTCACCTACTTACATTTTAATTTAGTAGTGGTTAACCAACTATTCTGTCCTTTGGACAAGACTTAATACCAGCTAGTTAGTTATCTCTGTGTAAAATATGCAAATTTGCTGCAAAAGAATCCCAGACCTGGTTCTTTCCTGCTATTGGTCAAATTGTTCTTTTGAGTAAAATCATTTGCTAACAGTTGGAAAAAGGAGAGAACTATGAAAGAAGGTAATGTGATGGTGATTGCTCAGAGAATGATATCTGGTGCTTCTCCTTCTCCTTCATTAACACCACACTCATCAGCTACACAACCACCTTTGCCAACACCATCACCATATTCGTTCTCAGTGGCATCGACAAGGTTGAGATCAAGGCCTTCTATATATGCATATGACCTTGCCTTAAGATCACTGGCACTCTTGTTCTCCTTCATCTCTGCTCTTTCACTAGCTGTACCATCACCAACAAGGACAAAACGAGGAACGATTTCCAAATTCTATGATGACTCACAATTAACGTAAGAATCAACACCAAGCTTATTATTTTTGTTGTCTCCAAGAACCCTTGCAAGGACTTCTGATAGTATAGGATTTTAGGATTTAAACTAAGACAACATTCAGTCCTATGGTTTTGAGAGCTGTTTTTACACTACTGCAGGTACTGCTTCACAGTAAGTATATTAGTTTTTATCTACTCAGCCTTTCAACTCATCAAGAGAGTTTGTGACATCGCTTATAGAGGTGTCTTGATCTCTGATATGACCTCTGACTATCTCAGTTTCATACTCGATCAGGTATTTACTAACTTCAATTAGCTAGAGATTACTTCCGAGTCCAAAACCTTAAGGAAGCTGGCTCACTGTCTCACATGTAACTACGACCATAAAATGATAAAATGGTTGCATCCCTACCTTTAGTTAAAACTAGTAGCAAGATAAAGCTTTCAAAACAACGAATTCTCATAAGCAGAATGTTTTACAGTTGACAGGTTACCTTCTCGTGTCCTCTTCTTCAGTAACTATACCGGTCATTCAACAGATGGATAGCCAAACCCCTCTCTGGAAGGCAGCTATTCTTGCTGTTTGCATGTCATTTATTGCTTTCATGGTCCTTGCGGTGTCTGCACTCTTATCAGGCTACAAGCTGTGCAAAAGGATCATATGGTGATGAACTGAGAATTGAACGTGCAGCCTTCAACTCCAGGATTGACAAAGCAACCGTAGTGTAAAATGGGACATGATTTCTTCTCTCCTTTTTGTTTCCGTCAAGAAGTTTTGATCTGCTTGAAGCATCACAAGTAGCAATTGGGTGGCATATACCAAATATCCTCTACTACACTAATGGTCTGGTAGAAGTTGATAACAACAAGAAGAGGGTTTCAGAAGTTTATAGCAAAGAAGAGGAAAAAAATTGGTAGAAAATATGCACATGCACTATTAATTGTAGTGCCACCGTCATGGTGAATGAACAGTATAAGTAGTATCAAACTAGTTTGTACTTTTTTTTTGAAAACTTACAATTCTCTTTCTACAGAAAATGTTATACTGCTTCCACTTATGCCATGAAGATAATAATTGAACAGGAGTATTCCCTTCTCTGCGTCGTGAATAAAATTATAAATACTATAAAACACTAGCGATTCCATATAACCAAAATACTCAACCTTCCTTGATGAACAAAGAAGTAGGTTCAGTTAAAAACCTACAGTTGTCTCCTATTCAACATTAGAACATCAATTCACATAGTACTATACAACTAAAGACAAATCTTGAATAACATTTGTCTCAATTGGCTTACATATATGATTCCAAATAAGTAGAAGCCGAAGCAACTCGTTCACCATACCATCAGATATTCAGATCCAATGTAGACTGCTCGGCACATTCTTTAGAAGGCAAAATCTCATCTGAATTCGCATGTTAATGGCTAGCAACAACATTTCAGCTCTCACCATTAGTAAACAAATTTCAGTTGTCTTTAGTGATTTGTCTTGTAAAAATTTGACAGAAGCAAGTGCTATGCAGTTTAATCTTCTATAATGACAAGATTTCCCTCAGAAAATTCACAAGCCTGGATGGAGAGGGAAAGCTGCTTCTGTAGCTTTTTTACCACAAAGACTTCTGACTCTTCACATATGGTTACTACCGTGCCCTTGCGGCCAAGCCTGCCCGTACGGCCAGCTCGATGAGCATAATGAACTGAGTCCGTAGGTAACCCCAGATTAACTACAAGATCACATTCAGGTAAATCCAAGCCTCTAGCTGAAAGCTCATTCGTTAGCAGCACCCTGATCTCCCCATTTCTGAACTTCTTTAAGATTGTTGATCTTACAAGTTTGCTGAGATCACCATGTAATTCTGCAGCATTCATACCACGAGCTTCTAGTTTAAAGACGGCATCTTTCAGTTGTTTTGTGTGGTTCATAAAAGCTATTACACATTTGGCATCCAGAGCATGCACACACCTTCTTAACATATCAACTTTGTGCTGTATCCTAGTAATAGTGTAATAATGCTGCAAATTAGGGGGTAAGCTCTGAACGTCAGGCATAGGTTGTACATTTGAGCTTGAATCAGTAGTAGAAGGTGTTCCCGGTATATTAACAGATCCAGCAGGAGTGACAGACTCGAGTGGAACAACTTTATTGGCTTGGATGAGAAGTGGATCACAACCCCAACTTCTTGCTGCTCTTATAACTGAAAAAGGCACTGTTGCAGACACCATGATAGTCTGACGTGCAGCTCGCTTGACAAGTGGACTATTTGACTCTCCTCCGCGTGCACCAGGTCTTCTCCCCACATGGTCTAATATACGCTTCATGTCCTCCCGGAAAGTGAATGCAAGGAGTTGATCAATTTCATCCAATACCAAGTAACGACAACCATGGGTAGGAAGCTTTCCAGCTGCACTAATCTCTGCTATCCGCCCAGGTGTCCCCACTACAATGGCAGGCTTGTTCTTCTTCAGAGCATCCTCCTGTCTAGATCGGTTTGCACCCCCTACAAGCTGCTGGACTAGTTTCTTATTCGCTGGTCCTAACAGCTTTTCAACTTCCCTGACAATCTGCATGCCAAGTTCCCTCGAAGGAGCTACTATAACTGCTTCGATGTCTATTTTTTTCCCAGTTTCATAGCCATCTGAAAGTTCTTCCTTCAACGGACCAACTCGAGACAGTATGGGAAGGAGATAAGCTAATGTTTTTCCTGAACCTGTGTAGGACTGGATCACAACATCATGATTTTTAAGAACAGTTGGAACTGCAGCAGCTTGAACATCAGTCGGAATCGTAAAGCCTTCCTTCTCTAGTCTTTCGACCAACAAAGGTGGAATGCCAAGTTCTGAAAATGACTTCGCAGCAAATGGTGCGGTCATTATATCTACTGGATTTTTCTCCTTAATCAATCCTTGTTTATTGCCACTAACTCTTTTCTTCTCTCTACTCTTGGGGACCTCAATTGTTGAAATTCCCTGCTGGAGCTTATTTTTCTCATTTGCACTTACTGTCTTAACTTCACTCTTCAATCCAAGGCTAGATAGAGTGAGGGATCCACTGCTACTTAAAAAGCGAACATTGCCTTGAGATGGAGCTATCCGTGTAAACTGTGTAACTTTTCTGAAAGCTAAAGAATCCCCAATTAACAAGAGGGCCCTTGTTAGCACTAAAGCAGGCATGGTTTTTCTAGTACTTGTTTTCCGAGTGGCTATCTCATTTAACAACTCAAATTTGATATGACTATTTATAATGCCAAAATCCTCTTAAGCAATTTACTATCATCACCAATCAGACTGCAACAAAAATGTTAACATATCAAATATACATAACAATATAGGACCTATGATAAGTAAAATTAAGATTTAGCATATCAGCATTCTTTTTACTAAAAATTGAGAATGTAGTGACATAAGTATGCCTCTTTTGCTGTAATATCCCTCTTCAAGAAAAAGAAAATAATCAGCAAAGAGCATTAGTGCAAAAGGCATGTCAAACAACTCAATCAATCAATCGATCAATCAAAACTAGTTAGTGTCTGTACTCTGTTATACGAATTCTCTATATCCATCCCGCTCCCTTCAGCCATAAACCCTATTTTCCTTTTGTCCACTTAGCTTGAACCTCACCTTAGGTGCCAAGTGATAGCCTCTACTCCCTAACTAAACATAGTTCAACTATCCAGCCCATATCATTCCAACACTAAATAACGGTGCACCCTTGAAGATCAATAGCAGGGACGACCGAATGACGTTTACTGCAGTAAATCATATCCCCCATAACCCGAAACTCTTATATTGACATTTGTTGAACACCTAGAAACTAGAAGACACTAAAAAAAACAGACATTTCGTCAAACACATGGTGACCACTAAACTCAACTCTCAGTTCTACACACCTACGCATTTCCACTATCACCTTCAACGTACAATTTATAAAGTTTTCAGCTTTCAAGAGAGTTCGAACTCGGCAATCAAAAGATCAAAATGGAAACAAACAAGAAGTAAAATTTGAAGGAAAACTAAACAGATAAGAGAATATGAAATTAACAAAAACAAATAAACAGGAAAACTTAGCCTCCATTGAATTGGGGAAGAGAATAAAGAGGAAATTGAAGGTGTTTTTTACCTTCTTCTTCTTCTCACCTTAGCTGCCCTGCCTGTTACTCTGCTAATAGTGAAAGCTAACCATATCCTGATTCTTATCATTCTTGATGATAACCTCAAGGCCCAATATAAAATATCACATTCATTTGGGCTTACATGTAAAAGTCCACAATTTTTGGACCACTATTTAAGGAGTAGCCAAATTTAGAAAAGTAATTTTCTTTTTTTATAATTTATATAAATCACATAGTGTTAAGAGCTAATTATATTAGTTCCCTACTCTTTTTCAAATTACAAAAATCCCTTAAAATTTATGGATTTCGAATATCTCACTGGACTTTCGGATACATTAGCAGAAATCTGGATACACAGGTGAGGGATATATCCGAGAGGGGATAGGACATCCAGATACATCACCGGACTTCCGAATACATCAGTAGACATCCAGTTACATAGGTGAAGGATGTATCAGAGAGGGGAGGGATGTATCCAAGAGGGGATAAGGATGTATCAGTGAGAGGACAATGATGTTCCGAGAGGGGATTTTTGAAAAATTTTAAATGGTAGGAAATTTTAGAGATTATGATAAAATAAGATGTATATTTAGGTAATTTTTCCATTTTTGGGGGGTAGTTTAATCATTTCAAAATCAACGATATTTCTTATCCAAATATCCGAGTTGAAGAATTTACATGGTTTAAGTTTAAGCAATGCCTAATCATTTTAAGTCTTAAACCACACCCTATATGTGTGATCTAAATCATTAAAAAAATGTGACATTTGATTAAAGGTCACACTTTTCATTCTAAGCAACACTTTTAGGAGATGACATAAACGAGTCTAATATTTTTCCCAAGGCAAAGGCTACGATGTGGACAAAGTGTGGCATTTTCTATGATCAAAGGCCAAGCTGGTAGAATCCCTCTATGACCACGTTTTTCACACCCTATAACTATACTTCTAAACCAACATTTGCAAAATGTAGCCTTAATTAATTAATTAATAGGACACCCTTTAGCTAGAACCCTATGATTGCAATACAGTAAAGTATAACTAACATTTTATCCTTCGTTTATTTTTATATCAAAATTATTTTTTTCATTTATGTTTTGGATCATAAATATTTTTTTTGCCACTGAAACTGACATCACAGGCCACCTAGGCAATCCAACATGTTTTAATTAAGTGTTGTTCTTCCTTGTTGAGAGTCGTATCACACACACACAAAAACAATAATTCTTCAATTGTTCTTGTTTGAGTTATTGTCCGAATTTTGAAACTCCAATTTCAAAGTGTGCCAAAGTTGTTAAAAGATTGAGTTCATCATTTGGATTTTGGGGTCGACGAATCTGAGACCGAAAATTTAGTTTCAAAGGTTGATTGTTATTGAAAAACTTGTTATATCATTTTTTATGTGTGGAAATTCGAAAATAGCTACTGAATTAAACACAATATAAGACTTATTCAATTCTTAACTATTTCATCCTATTTCTTTTTAGGAAAACATAAGTGAAAATTAGGTAAGTAACAAAATGAGAACAACGTCAATTTTCTTAATAAGACTGTCGGCCAAGTAGAGTTTATAGTACGTAAGATATTATCCTAAACTTATGACATGCTAAAATCAATAAAAACTAAATTCCATAATAAATATAATACTGTACCTAGTACAATAAAAAGAGAATTGAACTCCATTAAAAAAAAAATTAAAACTACACCCCATTGAAATGACTTCTCTCTTCTACATTCTTCTTTCCAATTAACAATGCAAGTATGGCAGGACAATATATTTAAAAGTTGCATGAACAGTATATATAATCAATTTTTAAGCTAGAAAAACATAGATGTAGACCCCATCACATGATATTTTGATTTTCTAACATAGTGGTGGTTGGTATTGAAAGATATTTTTATGAGAAAGTTATTTTCTTTAATCAAATTATTGAAAAAAATATATTTGTTTCATAAATTGGACATATTTCACTAATGGTTGAAAGTCATTTTCTTTATAGTTATGTGAACTTTTAATTTTACATTAGTTGCTCCAATCAATATTTAAGTATTATTACTAATCTTTAGAACATAATAATTTATCAATACATTATATAATGTGCTAATATTATTATTAAATATTGATGTATGCTTTCTTTAAAATATTTTCAATGGAGATCATGACTCTACTCGGAGTTGGTTTGGTACGCATTTGATTAGCAGACATGTTGTCTTCCTACATCAGTGGGATGATAGGTCATTCTAGGGGGGTGGGGGGTAAGGGTGACATTTTTTATGAATAGTTTTAATTAAAAAAATTGTCGATTGTAGCTAGTGATTGTTTGAGTCGGTGTATGATTACTACCCAATGAGGATCGTTTAGTACATAGATAAAAATATTCTGAAATTAGATTCTTAGATTATAATTATTGAAATTCTTTCCATTTTTAGACTATTTTTACTATGTGAGGATTATCATGTTAGGGTTCTATCAATATTTTAATTATGAATCTAATTACAATAACATACTCAATATAATTTTACAAGTATTAGATTTAGAGAGATTAAAACGTACACAAACTTTGTTTCTATTATTGTGGGATAAGTTGTTTTTGATAGACAATCAACTAAAAAATAGTATAGCCAACACAAGATTATAAGAAAAATAAAATAGCAAAATACAAGATAAGTTTTTACCAAAAAAAGAAGAAGGAAAAGATACAAGATAGATGCAACAATAGTAATACACATTTTGAAAATATATAAGAACTACACTATAACTTATAAATAAAATTACAAAAAGAGTAAGAGGAGAAGAGGAGGCTAGTCCCTACCTCATCCACACAAAATGCGATAACGTAATATTGAGTTATTTATTAATTTTTAAACTTAATTAATGTCTAATTTCAGTAACTTTTTATCTAAGTTTATGCTCTCAGTCAACTAAAATTATATTATACCCAATTTAATCATATATTCCTTAGTTCTTCTTTTATCTCTCCTAGCTCCTACCACAACCACTTGGGGTGAATTAATATGTTAAAAATGAGGCACATGATTTGTGGTCTCTTTACAAAGTTGAATATTTTATGTATATATTTTGTAAAATATATATTATATAGTATTTGTTGGCACCATGCTTCAAGAAGGTTAAATGAAGCATTTAATTGGATGGTTGAGTTATTTACCTAGAGGACTAGCTAGGGATCAATTCTCCCTTAATTTTTTTTCCATATTTGACAAAAACTTAGATTCGCTCTTATAGACGTATTCTTGCACACCTCCTTTTCACATGTCTGAACTATCTAAGTTTTGTTTTTCTCATAAAAATAAGCATTTCGTTCTCGTTCTTGATAGACTTCACTTGAGTCAGATCACATAAACTCCTCTCACATTGGCAAACGTAGACAACTTTCTATCCTTGCCTTGCACTGAGCTCTTTGTACAAATAAAAAATTTATCGTTTTAACCATCGTAACCAAAGTTTATCAAATTCTTCTCCCTCTTTTAAAAACTCAAATTAAGTTTTAACCTACTCAAAAACTTTTTCAAAATCTAAAAGTGAAACTCCTCCTTTATTTCTATCCCTAAATTGAAACTGCCATTGACCATATCATGACCTCTTAAGATTCTTAAACTATATTCAACTTTTTTTATATTTTCGTACATACAATAATTTTTTAACCTAAAAAATTCACTATTTAAATATAACAAACAGATCAGCAACGTTATCACCAACGTAAGAATAATTCCATAACTCCTACGACACGTGTACTTTCTACGAGTTATTATATTATACATTTTATAAGTGGGACAAAAGACGCACAGTGCTAGTGATGTTGGAAACTTAACGAAACTGGAGAACCTTCCAGAAATAAAACACTTTTTAGTTTTTTCTTTTTTTTTTATCCCTCTAATATTGTAAGTACCTTCTCGCAACTTCTTAACGAATAAAAAATTAGTTACTGGGCCCAAGTATACCCTTAAAAAATACCCGACCCATTCTTCATTTTTCTCTCTATTATTATTATTATTATTATTATTATTATTATTATCTCCATCATAATATTTTCCTTATTAGCCATTTGACTCACCTCCTAAGAAACTTCTAGAAACAAAAACGCAAATTTCTCGTCTTCTCGATCTGTTTAGAGGAGGTTTGGATCTGAATTAGCAGCAACGGTGGATGCCATGGTGCCATCGTCGGTTGAACATTCCGGTGAATCTGCCCCCGGGGAGAATCAGAGATCTCCTCCGATGCCATTTTTGACGAAAACTTTGAATTGGTGCATTAAGATCACATTCATCCTTAATTATCATGTTGTGTAATATAATACATCTAGTCATTATATCATGTAGCATTTTTTCTCCAAAAACGTGACGATCCTGCAAAAATTGCAAAACTCCAAATGTACATTCAACATCTTTTCGGCATGATTCTTGTTTCATCGCGAATTAATTATTATGTTATGTATTGTATTTTATCTTGTATTTAAATTATTATGTTATGTATTGTATTGTTATCTTATATTTAAGTAATCATATTATGTGTTGTATTTTTAAATTAAATTATTCATCTTATCATTTTAATTTTGTGTATTCTTTATAGTGAAAATTAATAATAAAATTAAATTATATTATCGATGAAAATTAGAAAAAATTAAAATACTATTAATTTGGAATGAAAGTAGTATATATTAAATAATATATTTTTTAAAAAGAAGTATGAATATTAGATACTTAATTAATGACATTTGTAAAATAATATGTAATTAGAAAATAATAAAAATAACTATAAAATATTTAAAAAGCGAAATAGAGAGTGTGAGAACTATTATTCACCTCTCTAACTATGAAGAATAGAAAGTGATATAAAGGTGAATTGGAGTGCTCATTCTCTATTTTACTCGTGTGTTGGAGATGGTCTTGGAAACTTAGCAAAACTGGAGAACCTTCTAGAAATAAAACAACTTTTTTTTTTTTTTTAGCCGTCCAATATTGTAAGTAGTTTCTCGCAGCTTCTTAACGAAAAAAATATTAGTTACTGGGCCCAAGAATACCCTTAAAAAATTTGACCCGACCCATTCTTCATTTTTCTCTCTATTAATTATTTTCTCCTTCATTATATTTTCCTTACTAGCCATTTGTTGTTTCTCTCCTTCCTATCCTACTCACCTCCTAAGAAACTTCTAGAAACAAAAACGCAATTTTCTCGTCTTCTCGATCTGTTTAGAGGAGGTTTGGATCTGAATTAGCAGCAACGGTGGAAGCCATGGTGCCATCGTCTGTTGAACATTCCGGCGAATCTGGGGAGAATCAGAGATCTCTTCCGACGCCATTTCTGACGAAAACTTACCAGCTTGTAGATGATTCTGCCATGGATGAGTTGATCTCGTGGAATGACGATGGAACGACATTCATTGTTTGGAAACCTGCTGAGTTTGCTAGGGATTTGCTTCCGAAATATTTTAAGCATAATAATTTTTCCAGTTTTGTTCGGCAGCTTAATACTTACGTAAGACTCGGTTTGATTTTTTATTTTTTTTTATATAATTTTTGGTTGATTTAACTAATTTTGTTGAATTTTTGTTTAGGGATTCAGAAAAGTTGTACCTGATCGATGGGAATTCGCAAATGACTGTTTCCGTAGGGGTGAGAAAGGACTGCTTCGTGACATTCAACGCCGGAAAATCTCACCGGCAGGTACCGTCGTGAGTGCGGTTGTTGCACCAGCAGCACAAGCGGTGACGGTAGCGGTAGCACCGGCTGTGAGGATGGTTTCTTCGTCGAATTCCGGTGATGAGCAGGTGTTATCATCCAACTCATCGCCGGCAGCTACGGCTGCCGCAGCCGGATCGGCGATGTTAAGGACCACCACGTGTACGACGACGTCGGAGCTTATAGAGGAGAACGAGCGGTTGAGAAAGGAGAACGCGCAACTGAATCAGGAATTGAATCGGTTGAGAAGTTTATGCAATAACGTATACAATCTGATGTCCAATTACTCGGTGAATCCGGCGGATATACCGGCAGGTATACCGGAAGGTCGAGCTCTGGAATTGCTTCGTACGGGGAAGGTTGACGGCGGCGGTGCCGCCTTTACAGCGGCGGAGAGTAGCGGCTTTATGGCGGAGGAATATATAAGCCCACGGTTGTTTGGTGTATCAATTGGGGTAAAGCGCGTGAAGAGAAGCAACGAAGAAGAATCTGATAGAGTTGAGGATCAGGATCAAGTACAACCGCTTGGATCAGACATGGAATCAGAGCCGTTGGATTCAGGAAGCGCTCATTATGATGATCAACCATGGATCTATCGATTAGATTTAGGGTGATGATTTGTCACTCAGAACAAGTGGGTCCCTTGGAGGTGGGGTCCACAGAAGCACTTGGGTGTTGATGAACAACACGTGTACAATGGAAGATTGTTGGTTGTTTCTGGTGGCTTCTAGAAGAAGTGAGAAATTGAGTCCAATGGTTTTTAGAAAAGGTCACAATATTAGAAAATTATAAAAGCCCCCAAAAGAGGTGGAAAAGGAGAAAAAAAGTGGCTTTTTAATATGACTTCATAATTGGATTGGAAAAATAGAGGGAGCTGAGCTGGTTGGTTGAAAAAGATGATAGTCAATGTTTTAATTAGTTGGGATTAGGGAAATATTTATATTAACAATACAAGGTGCCAACTAATTTTTGGCTAGGGAAATTGTTTGTGCATAATTGAAACATTAACAATGTTGTAACTTTATGTTTGAAGTACTTGGTAAATTTACTGAATATTTGCTCTTACTCATTTTCCTTCTTAGTTGCTTGTAATTTTGTGTTCTTTTTATAGCTTCTTCAAAACATGTTTTACGATCTTACTTGAACAAGATTTATTCGATAAGCTTGTAGTATTGTATCTTTGAGTTTAAGAAGACATGAAATCAAGTCTGGTGGATGAATCATGTCACTAGACCCAAAGTGTTTGGGTCCTGGTGCTGTTGATGATCGTTTTCAACATCGTAGATCATTTCTTAGCACCTATGGTTGGTGCTAAGATGGTCTAATGGTTCTTTAACAAATTCTTAGTAGAAATGGATGATATGATGTTGAGATGGTTTAATGGTTGTTTAACCAGACAGGAAATCAAGTCTGGTGGATGAATCATGTCACTAGACCCCGTGTGTTTGGGTCTTGGTGCCTTTGATGATCGTTTTCAGCATCGTAGGTCATTTCTCAGCACCCATGATTGGTGCTAAGATGATCTAATGGTTGTTTAACAGACTCTTAGTAGAAATGGATGGTATGATGCTGAGATGGTTTAATGGTTGTTTAACAGACTTTTTAGTAGAAATGGATGGTACATAGGGTGAGTTCAATTAGTTAGATTTCAAAAACTAGTATATACATATTTAAGATTGAGATTTTAAAGCATACAATATTAGAGTATGTTTATGTACTTAATTGATCGATTAATTTTTACCAAAATCTAAGGAGTTAATAAAAAAAACACCTATTTTATTATGTTATTTTATTTGCATGAAGTCGTGTAAATCAGAAATGTAATTGCTACTCCTTTAGTTTGAAGGAATAATTAAAGAGAGTTTAATGGGGGAGCAGAACCTAGTTTTAGAGAGATCAAATTGTCAAATATTTTGTAACTTTATTTAAAGAAAAAAAGAAAAAGGATGTGCGTTAACAAAAAGAAGATAAATTGTATGTAGACTATAAACTAAATTGAGGAGTCAAAGAAGTAACGCAGACAATTAAATACAATAACACCTCCATTTATTTGTCAAAATCCTTGACCGCACTTTTATGAAATTGATATAATTATTCTCTTCGTCTTAAAATATTTATCGTATTTTTTATTTAAACACCTTAGATGAAACATTAATTAAGAGAAACATTTAACTTGTTTATCCTTATTTATATTTGTCTTCAAAGAGTAATTACTTCTAAAAGCACGCAACATGAAAAAATAATAATTTGCCTTAGACTTCTTAAATGACAAATATTTTGTTGAGACAAATATATTTGGTAAAAAATAACATGTCTGATTATTTTGAGTTTCGAACATAAATATTGTCAAATATTTGCTTTCCTCTACTCACCAAAATGTGATGAGACTAGATTTGGTCATTTACATAAATAAAATAAAATTGGGAATTAAATCAAGTAGCATGTAAAAATATCTCAATTTATGATTGAATTATTTTGAAGAATATCTCTGTTTATTTATTATCTTTACATTATGGATCAAAATGTTCGATTCTTTCATATAGTACAAATCCAAACTAATATAACATCCCCTACGTTTCACTAGAGTATGGGGAGTTGCAAATAGAAAATAAATAATTTAGTTTTAGTTTGTAGTTTAATACAATATGAAATAAAATAATAACTTACTAATAAGCATTTAATGGAACATGTCATAGTGGGGATGCATTGCTACGTGTTCTTATTTTTTTGTTTCGATTCAATATTTGATATTCAAATTAAAGTTTAATTGATTCAAATTTACATTATATGAGATTTATTCAGATAAATATTTCCTACTAAAAATGTGTGTTTTTTTTTGTTATCGTCCAATATGAGAGGTATAATGGCAAATCAGAATAAATGAAAATCATTTATGATGAACTTAGATACTCTTTCTTATTTAGAGGGTGTTTGAATTCATTTAAAAGTTGGTTAAATATATTTTAAAGTCAGTTTTTGATTTTTGAAAGTGTTTGACAAATATAAAAAGTAATTTAAAATAAGTCAAAAATAACATAAAATAAGTTAGGAAGTGTTTGATTATGTTAAAAATAACTTAAAATAAGTCAAATATGACTTAAAATAAGTTAAAAACCAAAAATAGATCTCCTCTACTTTTTATATTTTTGACTTAAAATCATTTTGATTTGACTTTTTATTTTAGACTTAAAAACTACTCCACTTTTTTTAAGCCAGTCTGGCTCTTACTCATTTTAATAGCCTCAAATAAATATGAAATTACATAGATTGATGTATATATGACTTTGTTTATTGTGAAGTGTACACTTCTATAGGGAAATTCTCCAAATCTACTATTTTAGTGTTGTTTGGTTCGAAGAGAAGTTATGCGGGTATATTTATAATGAAAATGGTTAATCTTCGATATTAGTTTTTATTGATTATTTAGTTTATTATATTAAAAAATAGATTTTATTTTCTTTCTTATTTAGTAAGAAGAAAAAATCTGAAAATTTTGAGGATTATTTTTATTATTTTATCTCAAAACTATTCCTAGTAGTACTATTACTCCACCATGTGACAAAGATAACTCATTCAGATATATTATTTAATAATCTTATTATAAAATTCCAAACGTATAGACAACTAACTTTTCTTTTGTGGAGAAATTGAATGGTAATTGTATGGAAGATCCTTGTAATGGGCCTATGGAAATATTGAAGTGAGTGTTGACTACTTCAAAGGCAAATATTATCTTGTTTTTTGTTTTTGTTTTTTTCGCTTTGATCGTAAAGATGATCTTGAACCTAACTCAACCTCAAAAGCTAATTTATGAGGTGAGAATTGTTCAAGTCGACATAAAGAAACCAAATTTCTATCTCTTTTTTAATGTAGGAATTCATAACACTCCCCCACACGATACCATGAAAAGATGGATTTTGGGTCTAACTTAACTCCCAAAGCTAGCTCATGAGGATTGTTCAAGTTCATACAAGAAGATCAAATTCCCATTCCTTTTCTAATATGAAAATTCTTAACATTGACCCCATTGATAAATATATAAATTAATAAGTAATATAATTACGCTTTTACTGGTTCACTTTCCACAGAATAATAATAAATACTAAAAGAAAAGGGAAATCGTCTAATCCTATCATTTTATGTGGAAAAATTCACTTCAGAATCTCTATGCTTGATTTCGACCAAAAAAAAAAAGAAGAAGAGATACTGAACTCATATATATTTTATTTTTTCCATTCTTAGTATTAAATAATTAAATGAAATAATAACAGATAAATTTAGAATTTCAAAATATTGTTAACAAAGTTCATTTAATAAAATATATTTTAATTAAATTTTCTTTAAAATATATCAAATCAACTGAAGCTAATTAAAGTACTTTATAAAATAGAGAAAATATTTATCAATCGTCTTTTCACTTTTTTTTCTTGGCCTCTTGTGGAATAATTCTTGACTTATTAGTACAACCTTCTACTTAGGAATCTTGATGGTTAATCATCAACTAATAGAAATGACACATTGTTTTTTTGTTTTTTTCTGTTTAATGGTTAAGAAAGTGATGGAATGTGGGGGACTTTATAAATTTTCTAATGCTTAATTGGTTGGAATGATTTAAAAAAATATTTTTTCAGTGAAAACAAGTTCTTCTAAAATCATAAAAACAACGTAAAATTTTAAAATAAATAAACACAAGCCTCATACATAATATTTCATATAATTGATTTTCTCCCTCCCACCTTTCTACCGCTCCCTCGCCCCTGCCCTCCGCATTCCACACAGTGAAAGAGACTGGCGCTACAGAGGGGTGGAGGGAGACGGGATCGCTATAAAATAAAGTGAAATATGAAGTGAGTTATTAATATTGATAAAATGCATTTATTTTTTAAAATTTCACTTAAAAAGAATTTTTTTAAAAGAATTTTTTTCTTTCTAAAAGAAAAATCAAAACTTTCGGCCATATGAAAATTCAAATATTTTTTTTTAGGTGATGGGGCAAATTAAAACATTTTGAAAAATAATTTTCTTTATTATTTTTCTCAATGCTCATCCTTATTGCAAGTGCATCAGCTCGTTACTTCCTAGAAAGAATTGTAAAAGAAAAACAAACGGCGTGGGCCTCGTTTATTTTTTTCAAATGGTTGGCCACTATATGTTAGCAGGTCACATTTATCCTATTCAAGATTTTTCCTTGGTTTATATATTACATCCAAACAAATCTATATCTTTTATACGCTTGGTCTCAACTAATAATGTGACACACTTTTTATTTAGTCTATTTTAATTAAAAAAATATCATCTTTAATCGCATTTAAAAATAATTAAATTTCAACTTTTTTTATTTAGATAATTTATATATAATTATACAAACGACGATAACACGTAAATTGTGACTAATGGAATAATTAAATTTAACCAGAATTCTCATATTTGAACTTTGAGTAGAATTATAATTCTGCTAGAAGAGTCACTACCAAAATAGGTCTTGAAATGTACAATTCAAATTTAGTCGAGTTTCAATACGAAGACCGAACATCAGAAACCAGGAGTAACTAAACGTTTACATTTCAAGTCCACCCGAACTTTTTCCACATGCGAAGTTGCATGGGTGCATCGTCCCTCGTGTTATTAAAATAGCCATCAAATTGCATATCATACAAACTATACTATATCTTTTAATTTCTTCTTCTTGTTTTTTTTTTTTTGTTTTTAATTTTTGGTCGATGGAAATCACTATCATATCAGCTCAAGGCCTCAAGAACACCACCACCTGGCCATGGTGGTTCCGCCCTTTCGCCACCGTCTCCACCGTATCCACCGCCTCCACGACCGACGTTCACACAACTAATGTTGATGAAACAATACGTAACACCAACAACAATAATAATTATAATGCTACGTGGGGCGATAAATTTCACCTCTCTATCGATGCTAGTCTATTTTTACATGGACATTTATGTATATACATTCAAATATATTCTAAAAATTTTCTTAAGGGTCGGAGTGAACTAGGGTGGTGTATGATTCCGGCGGCCGACGTATTCAACGGGTTACTTCCGGCGGGTTTTCTCCGGCAATTTAGCTATAGGCTAAGGAATAAAGATGGTTCAAGAGGTAACGGAGTTGTTAATGTTGCCGTTAAATTGGATGCTTCGTTAGTTTTGGGAATGCATCCTCAACGATCACCGATGTATTTGCCGGAGGTGAGTGAGTACTCGCCGGTTCTTGTAATTCCGGTGACGGCGTCATCGACAAATATGTTGTAAGACAAATGAACAAGCATGCAACTGTTGTGTGGACTTACGTAAATACTGTTTTTATTACCGTATTATTTAAGTTATATAT